TTCTTGACAGCGAGATTTTTCTGCACAAGTTGAAGTTGAAAGGAACCTCTAGAGACCATCTAGTGCCCTGCTCCAGCAGGGACACCTAGAGGACGTGGCACAGGACTGCATCCAAGCGGGTTTTGAAGATCTCCAGAGAAGGAGACTCCACAACCTCTCTGGGCAGCCTGTTCCAGGGCTCTGTCACCCTCATAGTAAAGAAGTTCTTCCTCATATAGAAGTGGAACTTCACTTCAACTTACACCCGTTACCCCTCGTCCTGTCACTGGCCACCACCAAGAAGAGTTTAGCATCATCTTCTTTACATTCTCCCCTCAGGTATTTGTACATATTGATCCAATCCCCTCTCGATCATCTCTTCTCTAGGCTAAACAGGCCTAGTTTGCTCAGTCTTTCCTCATAAGATAGATGCTCCAGTCCCTTAATCATTTTCGTGGCTCTACGCTGGACCCTCTCTAGAAGCTCAATGTCCTTCTTGTACTGGGGAGCCCAGAACTGCACCCAATACTCCAGGTGCTGCCTCACCAGATCTGAGTAGAGGGGCAGGATCCCCTCCCTCGACCTGCTGGCAACGCTCCTCCTCATGCAGCCAGGATCCCACTGGCCTTCTTGGCTATGGGGGCACTTTGCTGCCTCATGGTTAACTTCTTGTCAACCAGGACTCCCAAATCCCTCTCCATGGAGCTGCTTTCCAGCAGGTCACCCCTTCCTCTGGAGCTGATGAATAAGATGGTTTTATAATAGTGCTTGCATCTAAGATATATCATTAAGACCATGATTTTTTTCTTTTAAACAGCTTTAACTATTACTAGTTCTTGGGTTTATTTTCCCATAGGTTTTACACAGCCATCACTACAACACAGAGTACAGAATTGTGTCCTCACAATCCACTAATGACAATTCCATTCATGATTACTACTGCTTTTGGTGAAAAATGTATTTGAAGAAAGTAGAGCACTTTCTTTAGGCAACCCTTGGCTGGTTTTATGAAAGGAGCATGGCCCACTGCTTAGGGCATAACATTTAGTGGAAAGAACTTAAAGGTGACATTTGTCTTAAGCAGTATTTTCATATGTAGAAGGCACACAAAGTCAAACTGTAAGTGATCTTGCCATGTATTCCCCTGTGATTCTGTGAATGAAATGCAATGCGGTACTGAGAAACTTCACCCACCAGCCAAACTATGCAGGCCTGTAAAATCAGACTATAATGTTGGCATTTTGGAAACAGAAACAAAACATCCCAAAAAATGAACAAAACTAAACACATTTTTGTGTTTGAACCTCATTGCTAATTATTTAATGGCCAAAATAAATGCTCTAGTTGGTGTCAAATAATTAATATAAAGTTCACAGTGATTAACTTCCCATAAGGTTTTATAGTATTAATTTTACTCTATCCATGTAAGAATTATACTTTCTTATAAAATCACAGAAGAAATATGCTTTAGGCCATTTTTCCCTTTCATTTTAAGCTGTCATTAAATAGTGCAAAGTATTGCAACACAGAGAAATAATACTTTGCTTTTGGATATGCCTCCTAACAGATGATCTCATTGTGGTTTCACAGATTTCCACGTCTCTCAACATCATGGAGCTTACTGGATTGCCTTATGTAGATCACTATACCAACTGAGTATAAAAAAATTACCTCAAATATGAGAGAATTTCCTTGCTTCAGAGAATTAGGCATTAATAGAAAACTGGTAGTGACATGTAGGAATAAGAAAAAGAAGGAAAGGTTGGCCAGGGATGAAAATAATAATGCTGATTGCTTGATGGATAAAAGGATTTTCTGAGGCCAACCATTAGAGGTTAACAAGGAACACTTGGTGAGATATAAGCAGCACCTGGGAAGGTTGTGGTAAAGGTAGAGAGGTGAGGGTTTTTTTTTTTTTTTTTTCCCCCCCCCCAGTGGCAGTTTTAGATGTTCCTTGCCCAGGTATCCACTCTCTTTCCTCAAGAAAGCTCCCTAGAAAGTGCATTGATACGTATTTCAGTTGATCAAACATCCCCACTGGGCATACGTCATCTCTGCTTTTTTGCACTTCCCCATCCTGTAAGTGCCAAATATAATAAACCTTTCCTAGGTCCCAAGCAGCAGTTCACCCTTCCTTTTTACAGTTATTATTAGAACTCAGAACTGCCATATTTTTTTTTTTTCCTGAGAATTCTTCTGATTGCCTCAGAGAGAGAAAGGAAGGAAAATAACTCAGTCTTTTGACTGATGTAAGGACAAAACAGAAACTGAAAGTACTTCTGTCTTTATGCTGTCTTATTTCATAAAAGGGTAGCTATTGATATTATGAGATAGTTCCGTTGTTTATTGTTTCTCAATTCACATTCAGCTAATGTTAGTATGATTTCTTATAAGGGATTGAATCTTTCAAGAGATTTTCTTATGTCACTCCCATTGTCTCTCTCTGAGAGTTTGGGGAAGAATTTAGTGGCAATGAAAAGAATTCAGATGACTAATGAAAAGCACAATGCTGTTTAGCATTATTTAGTTCCACCTCGGACTATGCAGTCATAGAAACTCAGTGAAATACATGCCATTACTTTAACTGTTAAACATGTGTACCTGACCTCTGCCTACTCACAGACATGGTCCTCCCTGCAGGTGATGCAGCAGAAGAGATTGACCTGACCGTGGTTTACCAAGCAGCAGCTAATGGTGATGTGAACACCCTAACTGCGGTAATCCGAGAAGATCATTCCATCCTGGAATGCTGCAACAGCGAGGGTCAGTGAGCCCTGTGCTCCTTCCCAGGGGCTTCACTGATGCAGATTGCAATTATGTTGTAATCTTTTTCCCTTCTTTTTTTTTTTTTTAATCCTGATTTTCATGTTCAGCAAATTATATACAGTAGCAGCAAGTGGGAAAATTGAGTTGTTCTTTGGAATATCCACTGGAAATACACACTTTGGATACTTCTTTCCCCATGTAAATATATGATCTTTTATTCTGCCTGCAAAAAAACATGAGTACAGCTATTGGATATTTGCCAGAGAAATGATGTTTTAATTTACTGCTGCAAAATTTAGCAAAGAAGAAAATATCTTTATCCTGTGCCTTTGACAAAACAAAGATTGTAAAAGACTGTCTGACTTTCTTCTCCAGGTTGCACACCTTTGATGCATGCTGTGTCAGGATGCCAGGTTGATACAGTGAAGCTTCTACTGAAGATGGGAGCAAATATTAATACTCAAGATGCTTATGGATGAACCAGTTTATCTCTGGCAACTTATCTGGTACAAAGACTTGGGCAAGGAGGATGAAAAGACAGATGTTCATACTACAGCAGGAAAAAGAAAAAGTACAAAACATAGTTCTAGACAATAATGAAATTTAACCTCTGCTATAACCCAAGGCAGGGAGCAACTATTGTAAGAAAATGATCAGGGCTCTTTGCAGTGTGTCCTTTCTCCTATGGGTTGTACAAATCAGTGCATGGTATGGGACTCTTACTAGACCCAGGGGCCTCTGAATTCAGGAAAGCCACTGGTTTCCTGTGCACTGGAAAAGGACTTTAAGTCCTCTCCTATCTTCTAGTATGGAAATTATTTCTCCCCTCCCACTTTTAGCATCAGATTTCTGTGCTCCAGGGAGGGCATTCCTATTTCAGCTTCTGGAGGATTAGCAGGCATGTTTTCCTCTATACCCCATAGCCAGGACATAGAATCATAGAATGCTTAGGGTTGGAAGGGACCTCTAGAGGTCATCTAGTCCAACCCCCCTGCACACGCAGGGTCACCTAGAGCACGTGGCACAGGACTGCATCCAAGCGGGTTTTGAAGATCTCCAGAGAAGGAGACTCCACAACCTCTCTGGGCAGCCTGTTCCAGTGCGCTGTCACCCTCACTATTAAGAAGTTTTTCCTCGAGTTCCTGTGGAACTTTTGGTGCTTCAGTTTGTGGCCATTACCTCTAGTTCTGTC